CTTTTCCCGGCAGACTCAGTAATGTAATGCTCCAACAGTTGGTGCATTCCCTATAGTCTCCCTTGTTGAACGGCGGTGTTACAACCCGGTTCTCCAGTCCACTTGTGTTTTCCCGGTAGCCACTGCAGATTGATAGACACGCGCTATCTACAACATACCTTGATCCATTGAAGTATCTCAGGACGGATTTCATCGATTGCCGCAGCCTTGCCATTCTTGATTGCCTCCAAGGCTTCTGTGTCTTTATTCACTGAAAGACTGCTGTTCGTTACCTGCTGTACGAACGAGTCTCCATGCAGTTGCTCTGGGTTAAGGAGTTCTTTAAAGTACTCTTTCAACTGTCGAAATATGTGTTCTCTTGCAAGAAGGAGCTTGGAATCGATATTCGAGACTCTAAGAGACCCCTCTTTTCATCTTAAGGCTGCTGATTGTCTGCCAAAATAGCTTGTTTGCCGTCTGGAAATTTGACACGAGTACTTCACCGAACTATTATGCGAAGAAGCTTTCATTGTACCAACTTGTTTGCTGCTACTCTGTGCGTTTCTTATATGGCATTCACATTAACTGATGACCTGTTGCTTCAACCCTACACTAAAATGAAGCCTTTTTTAACATCTACATTCGGCGGCGGCTCGATTAGACAGTTTTCATGTGGTTTTTACTCATTTTCAACGTCAGCTTTAATCAGGGGAGACATTGAAACCTTCCTGCGATGTTGTTAGTTAGGTTCGCCCACGTTTCCACAGAAGATAAGGCTTTTTATTTCTTGTGATTGGTTCTGTCGACTGCTGTTCGCTAGGTACTCAATTGTTTGCACCGGACAAAACCAAGAACGAATTTATGGTCGCTTGACTGATCTGCGTCTCTGTCAATATGAACATTTACTACAGAACCTAATAGGTCAGGCGACATGATTACCAAATCATTCATTGACTTCTGCGCTCTGTCATTTATACTGGTACACGCTTCGATTCTCGAGAAGGTCTTCAAAACAGAGAGTTCGCTTGATGTCTACCAGCGCATAAAGTATATGCTGTTTATGTGAAGATCGCGAGGGCGTTTCTTTCTATTTTTCAGCGTCTGATTTAACGAGCGCATTGAAATCGCTATTAAAAAGGCTGGACTTTGTAATACTGCTGGCACCTTGAAAGAAACACCTTCTGCTTTATCCATTAAGGACTCACACACTCCCTTCGGATTGGATGCATACACTGGTAATAAGATCAGCGTTTTTTCTTGCCGCAACTTCAGGTAGAAGATTGGCAGTCATAAAATCGGGCTTCCACTGAATGATTCTGTTAGTCAAGTTAGGTTCTAATAAAACAGCAACACTTCTGAGCACGGCTGATAGAATCAACAACTAAACAGAATATCTTTCAACCGCAGAAGTTCAGTGTTTCAGAGCCCTGGCGTAGTACTGAGTAGGGTCCAACTAAACACAAGCAGCACCTTGCCACTTCATCAGCTAGCTCCTGCTCCGTTTTTCTCAGCGAGATGTTCCGTTTCCGATTGTGTGCTCCCACCTTCAGCATCGTTCCCATGGAATCTTATACGACGTGTCATAATGACGTAGAGCTGCCTGCCTCCTTCTTTCAGGTCGGATATCGGATTCGTTGCTGACTAGCATCTCCGTATAGATCTCCAGCAGCCATTATTGCACTGATACTCTCAGCTGCTAGAAGTCGTAAAACAGGTTGCTGTCGCTGAATTTTCGCAGCTGTCAGTTCTCCAACAAACGCTCGAAACCATTTTATGCAGATGACCAGTTTTACGGAAACCCCGCCATGATTCCCGAGACATCTCCTTTCTAGGATTTTGACCGGCAACGGTGGCCGGACTTGCAGACTGAAGGAGAGTGTTTCGATGATTGAATTGTGAATTGTACCTATAATTTGAACGTCGACATTAATAAAGTTGATCTCCACTTGATGCCGTATCATCATCCGGATTTTCTAACTGCCTTTCCAGATTGGTACCGTTACATCTTGGACGATTTATGTCAATGACTAGCAAAATTTGAACGAGGCTGCTCGGAGTTAGGTTAAAAATATTAAATTATAAACCTTACAGTAGTTAGGTTTAAAAATTTGCAGGTCAATAGAGTTGAAAATTTAATTTCAGCAAGTTAAAGTTATTGCCTTAATTTCAGACATCCCAGATAGCAACATATGAAGCACCAAAAATACATTGCTTACAAGGTTTGCAGGCCTGAACCTCATTTAAAACGTCTGAAAGACTTATATGCTCAAAAGATTTCACCTTCTCATATTTGTTCTTGCTTCATCAGCTGGTCAACCAATCAGTTAATTAATTTTATCACTGAAACACTCTACACATATTGTGTAATTCATAACAGAAGGTATTCGCCGTATAATAAATTATACCTGTGCTTTGTGGAGAATCATGTAAACCATCAGTTACAGGCGAATGCAAACTGCCTGGTGATGTGATAGCTTACGTGAATTTAATTGAACTGTTACCTTTCGAGTTTCAATCTAGCTAATCGAATCGATATGGAATTTTTGCGTAACAAATTGACTAATAGATCAAATTTCTCTCCTTTCTTGAATGCAATATGTCTTTAAGATTGATTAATTCAGTCCTCATTTGATAAAACGTTGTTTAGTCGTACTGCACAATAGACCCTGAAGTAGAAGCGGGTAACGATTAACAGCGTTCGCTATGCAATGACTATGGGGGTCAGTCACTTTATAATTTCTGTATGCATGTAGATACTTTACACTAAGACTTTATAGGCATCGGATGAGAATTACCAATTTTTTGTGGAAGACCAAGGCTTCGGCTTATGCTACTGGCTATTATGAATTGCGGCCAAGGAGGGTCTGCTGTATATTATGATGCATGTATCTTATGCACAATTAAGCAAATTTATAGTTTTATTCAGGCAATTATAGACTGAGACTTGATTAGAGCTTTTCACATGTTTTATAAATTTAGTAATTAAAAGCATTGTAAGAAAACAACAGCAGTAATTGATCAGTAGGACCCGTCCAAGCATACGATCAGCAAACATAGTCTTGTGTGCGTTTATTGCTGGGGTATGGCAAGTATGCGAACGGTTTTGTTGCGTCCCAGTAAGTATTTGCGACGGCATCTGTCCACAGATGTCGTGAAGCTTTCTTACAATGTTTACGGCGAACAAGACGACGAAGCCCGTTCGAAACCGCCTGTTGTTTTCGTCCACGGTATGCTGGGTCACAAATCGAATCTGTCATCGGTGTGCAAAGCGATTCATCAGCGGCTCCACCGAATGGTGGTGGCTCCGGATCTAAGGAACCATGGCCACAGTCCTCATGTGGCAACCAAAATGACCATTCAGAATATGGCCGATGACGTATTGGCGATGCTCGACGACTTCAGCTGCCGTCGGGTCGGCGGCGGTGTGTCGTTGATCGGCCACAGCTTGGGCGGGAAGATCGTCGGCCTGCTTGCGTTGAAGAACCCGTCCGTGGTCGGTTCAGTGGTGATCGAGGACGTCGCCCTGCGA